CGTTGAAGACTAGGATTTTGTGGGAGCACCGAGACCATCTTTGATTCTAACAGGAGCCACAAAATTTTCCGGCTCTGACAAGGACAGCGCCTTATCTTTGGGATGGCACGAGACACCCAGGTTCCATCAACACTGGCGTGGTCGTAGAAGACACACCGTCGCCATTTTCCGACGTGGTTTCCCCTTGTCAGTGATGCAGGACGGAGGGCCTGACAAGGACACCTGTATAGTCCCTCGGATGAGACGAAAAACCGAGGTCCCGTGTAAACATTGGAATGCACGTAAAAGATCCCTTGGCAGTTGGAATTCGATATAAGAGTAGGCGATAGTGCCGCTGCCCGGGCAAAATTTCCCTCATAGCACACTGTATGGCGTATGCCCGTCATCATTAGCCCAGTCGGATCAGAACAATAGGACGTTAAACCCCATTTCATTTCATTTCACACCGCCGCCTCATAGCACACTGTATCGTGTATACCCTTCTTCATTACAACAGTTAGTGTAGAAAAGTAGGAATTTAAACCCCTTTGATTTCATTCTGAAATGGCAGATAGAAATTGCGCATGTTCCAATTGAACTTGACTAAAAAAAATAAATAAAATACGGATAGTTTTCGTGACATGGTTTTACATTGTATGCAGATGTAACGAAAATGAAATAAAAGGGGGTTTAGCGTCCTACTGTTCTGCTCCGACTGGGCTAATGAAGACGGGTAAACGACATACAGTGTGCTTCGAGTAAAATTGTGCCCGGACAGCGAAACTAAGGGCTACTCAATTATATCCAATTCTTACTGCCAAGGATCTTGTACGTGCACGCCAGTGTGTACACGGGCCCTCGGTTGTTCAGTTTAAAGTCGCTCGACAATGATTGACAACTTTGTTTATCTTATCCTGTTTACGAAACTGAGAAGTAATATGACATATTGCTTACGTGTGATATAACATAAACGCGACTACATTATACTGGGACACAGTGGTATGTAGGTAATTTATCAACTATGGGGTCACTCCAAAGCGTGATCTCTAAAAAATGTCGCCCCGTTCGTCAAGCAATTTTTGTGCATGTCATCCATTAATAGTCTGTAACAATAGCTCGCATTTATTGCAGTTACTTTCATTGCTTACGTGGACCGCGGACACGATTCCCCATCTTCGATGACAATTAAAGATATAGGGCATCGCAAAACCTTTGCCGGACAATTTAAAATCTTTTTAATGGGCAATATTAAAAGTTTGTCATTACTCGTTATTCGATCAGATCAAGATTGTTTGTTTATTTTGATGCCCTTGAGACAATGCCCATTGAATAGGGCATAAACACCGTAACATTATGAACATTTCACAATCTTGAAAAGCTGCGAAATTCATCAGGTGGAATTTACGAATAGAAATGGTCAGCAATTTGTTTTTGCGTTTATTATCGAAAACATTAACGAGTAAACTAATGGTCGTTTATGTATAGGATATTAACCTACCCGTTCTCTACCATATCAATCCGAGGGAGAGTAGGTTTATATCCGACATATATACAACGCCATTTCACCCTTAAATTTAATGGGCTCTTCCATTAAAAGGCAACAACGATTGGATAATTGCTCGATAGTTTCCGCCAAATAGCGAAAATTACCGAAGTAATCACGTGCATGTTTTTGTTTATACGTCGCCATTTTGGACTATTGAATTGAAAGCAAAAACAAAATGGATAGTAATACGAAGTCAGACGAATAATCAATCCTTTTTAGCCAACATATTGACGATGGAATAGATGTGAATGCAAATATCGACGAGGATCTATCCAAAGCCTGCAGTAAATTTGGACCAAAAGGCATTCTTTTCCAAGAATTCTGACAGTGAACCATGATTGAAGGTTTTCGGTATGTTCAGAGAAGGATTTGACCGACTGTTTTAAGAGGACTGTACCCAAAAATACTTTACAAAGGAACTCTTGGGCGATAAATACTTTCAAGTCTTGTAGTGTGTGGAGAAATAATCGCAATGTGGACGAAAAGAAAATTCTGAAAGATATCTTAGACATGGATAATCGATCTAAATACATGTATGTCGATAAGTACGCCGTCTATTTCGGTCCTGAATGTTAGAAACTGTACCATAATAAATTTTAATTGTCAAAAGAATAAAAATTTATTTCTGTGGTTTTTTTTGTATTATTTCGATCATCTACGTCATCAGCGGTTGATATGAGTCGAATATATTGACCTGAGATGACGTCATTAGCGGTTGATATGAAATATCAACCTGTCATGACGTCATCAGCGGTTGATATGAACGAATATATCAACCTATGATGATGTCATGACAGGTTGTTATGAGATATAACTGCTATGGACATCAAAGTAAAAACTACCGCCAGTTGTATATGGTTGCATTAAAAATTGAATTTTGTTTGAGTCGGATAATTATAATGTGAGATAACATATCATAAACATTCTTTCAGATTGTGAAGTCTATTGCGCAATGTAATGCGTCAAAGACTAATACCGATATACAAAACGAAAGTTCCATGGCAACGTGGGGGATCACGGTGGCTATGTAAGACGCTGGCTCGCTAGCCTGGAGGTCGGGTGTTCGATCCCTGCATTGGCCGAGAAAGTTCATCCAGATTTTCCGGCGTGGTTTCCCCTTGTCAGTGATGCAGGATGGAGGGCCTTACAAGGACAGTTGTCTAGTCGTTCGGATGGGACGAAAAACCGAGGTCCTGTGTACACGTTGGCGTGCACGTAAAAGATCCATTGGCAGTTGGAATTCGATATAAGAGTGGGCCGTAGTGCCGCTGTCCGGGCACATTTCCCTCATAGCACACTGTATGGCGTATGCCCGTCTTTATTTGCCCAGGTTAGAAGCCGAACAGTAGGACGTTAAACCTCAATTCATTTCATTTCCGGTGGGTTGGATGGCTGAATGGTTAGCGTGCGCGCGCTGTATCATAAAGTCTGTCATTGAGTCGACTGGCGTGGTTTCGAATCCCCGGTTGTACGTGGCAAGGAGTAGGGTCGCCTGTCCAACCTCGTGGGTTTTCTCCGGGTCCTCCGGTTTCCTCCCACTGCTAAAGACCCCTACGCGCAAGCGAATTATGTAAATAAAATTAAACCATATGTTAGTCCCGAAATGACCTAGTTTGTGTCGAGTGGACGTTAAACCCCATTTCTCTCTCTCTCATTTCATTTCCATGGCAACGTGATGGATAGATATGTATGAGCTTGATCCTCGTGATGGATTATATTACATATGCCAACCCAAGCCCTTGAAATACAGGTAAACACGGCCAAGAGACAAATCATAAAACAAATTTTGTGATATTTTCTAGAATCGGGTGGTAACTTCTTACTTACCCTAAATTACTAAGTTCGCACTTGTAGACTTTTCAAAATAGCTTTATCGGGTCGTCATGAGTAGATTCGTATAAATAATCAACATAGAGAGAGAGGAATGGGGTTTAACGTCCACTCATCACAAACATATGGTTTAATTTCATTTCAATATTTCGCTTGCGCGTAGGGGTCTTTAGCAGTGGGAGGAATCCGGAGGACCCGGAGAAAACCCACGAGGTTGGACATAATCAACATAGAGAATAACATTGATAGTGTTTGATTCAAGAAAACAATACCTCTGATTAACTACAACCACGAAGCGAGAAAAAGAGGGAGAGAGATGGGGTTTAACATCCACTCGACACAAACCAAGTCATTTCGAGATTAACATAATGTTCAATTGTATTTCAATAATCGATTGTTTTTAGCAGCAGAGGGACATGCGACCCTACACCTTGTCATGTACAAGCAGGGAATCCAAACCACTACACTTAACTCAATGACAAACCGGTTGGACGTGGCCTGTCATAAAACTCCATTTCATTCATTCATTCATTAATTCATTCTATTTTACAGTGGTAGTAGGAAATCTTTCCATTGGTTTGTAGACTTTACTTCTGTTTGTTGCTGCTCCAATAGCTATTGTTAAGAAGGTTATAGCCTGTCGGAACATCGCTGCCATTGATATCACGGAACGAGAGAAGGAAGCACGAGAAGAAAGGAACAGATATAAGGGGGAATAGTGAGAAAGTATAAATGAAGCGTCAGAGCAGAGACAATCCGCGTGTTTATGGAAAGAGTATCAATATTTGGCTTGTATTATAGCCTCTATCGCGTTCACAAGATTTTTAGCAAAAGGGGGAGGGGGTAACTCTCGTACGAACGGTGTCGGAAAGCTGGATATCGATAGGGTTCGTCCTCTCATGACCCAAATGCAGGGGCGGATTGGGGCCGGAAACCGGCCCGGGCTCCCGTGTCGGAGCGGCCCCTTTTACTGACCGCGGAGCCCCGACGGGTGGTCCGGGGGCTTTCCGCCGGGAACATTTTGAAAAAAGAACCCCAAATATGCGATTCTGATTATAATCTCTGTCAAATAGTATATCTCATAAATCGATTAATTCAGTCCAAAACCCAGACCTGCAAGTAACTTACAACCATCAACCTGTGAAATCATCATATCGTCATATTATGCAGGATTCCGAATTCCGGCGCACACCCGGCCCAGAAAGTCTATTATACCAGCCCATTCCAGACTCCAGTGATGGCGTGGCGGTCCGTTAAAGCCACCGGCCACATACAACATGATCATCATCGCTCCATGGCCAGTCAAATACCCCCCCCCCCCTCCCCATATAATGTTCAGCAGAAAAGGGTTTTTTAGACGAATTGGACAAAATTATTTTTTTCAGTTTTTTGTCCGACCGGCCCTTCGGGCGATCGCCCGATGGCCCAATCTGACCCTGCCCAAATGCCTCACATTCAGTGTCGCATGTGTGTCTAGTGAAAAGGGATCGGTTAGGTATTTATTTGAATCTTTATTTGCAAATGGAACCTGTTTATGACATCCAAGAATTGATACGTCGTGTCGTTTCCTCCTTTTATTCGCCATCTTTATTTAACACCCTGTTGGCCATCAACCAACTGTTGTCATGATTTGCTTCCTTGTTTATTTAACATATTTTTCCATTTCACTTATTATTATGAGGACTACGTAGGTCTTTTGATTACTGCATTATATGTATATCATTTTACTTAAAAAATATCCTTGGGTTAGATTACTGCGGTTACTATGGATGCTATAAATTGAGCTCCGTTAACGAAGCGTTCCATATTTCTTCCCAAGTTACCCTTGTCGGTTTTGGTCTTATTGAGCTAAAATATAATAGTAAAATAAAAAATAAGAAAATGGTTGGATATTTTGATCATCTGCATTATACGTGTAGGGGAGATAGAGTGAAATGGGGTTTAACGTCCACTCGACACATACTAGGTCATTTCGGAACTAATATATGGTTCAATGGCATTCCAATAATTCGCTAGCGCGTAGGTTTTTTTTTTATCAGTGGGAGGAAACCGGAGGACCAGGAGAAAACCGACGAGGTTTTGAACAGGCGACCCTACTCCTTATCGCGTACAATCGTAACCACGCCACTTGACTCAGAGCTTTTGATCAAACGTGCACACGTTAACCATTCGCGCGGCCACCCAGCCCCCGCGCTTTATACATATAGGGGAGAGCGGGGTAAGTTGTGCCACTTGCCACAAAAACTGCTGTGGATTTCAAAGTATCCACAATTTGCTGGTTCATAGTTAAATGACTTGTTCATCATTAACAACCATATCCTGTCAAATTACTCTGCCGTAATAAAATGGTTGAGTTCCAAAACAATTGTGGGTAAATTGACTTTACACCAATAACTATTGGACTATTTAATAGATGGCGCCACCATTTGTCCATCTTTAATCATACAGGCTGGAAAGTGGGTGACTCAACTTACCCCTTCTCCCTTAGTGATCGAGTGTATTTCTATAAAGTACCTATACTCCCCTTTGATGAATCAAGCCGTCTGTAATAATATCAATATTACCTATTTCAAGCCTAGTGCAAAATCTTAACAGCCTATCGACAATCTATATGTTAGATACCGCTGGTCGAACGGGACTCCATGGAAAGATGGACGAAGTCCCGGTTATCCTGACGGGGCACCTGTACTATACAGAGTAAAATCACAACATACATGATGGAGAAAAACAAAATGCTAGTTGACTAACTAAAAATGCTAGATGGCTAACTAAAAATGCTAGGTGGCTAACTAAAAAATGTTTGTTGGGTAACTTAAAGGCTCAATAACTAAAAATGCTAGGTGGCTAACTAAAAAATGTTTGTTGGGTAACTTAAAGGCTCAATACCACTCTTGTTGTAACTGAATAATATGTCCCAATCTTTATTCTGGTCAACAAATTGTACTATTTTAGAATATTTCAATTAATTGATGATACAAATTTCATCTTAACACGCCTTATTTAAAAATTTTGAAAAATTCAAAATAATGGTTTGAAACGTCTAACGTAAACCTTTTCAAATGAAACTTCGATTTAAAAATATTTTCGAACCCTCTGGACAAGTAAAATAGGATGTAATGGATAATTTACACAACAGGTAGGACACTTAAACATCTAGTACTTAGATAGAGATATTATTTATTTTCTGGAGCTTTCAAGCCAGCAAGAGTGTTATTGTCCCTTTAATAAACAGAGTAATTCAGTTGTATGTACCTGATCACTTTCCTTATCTCCATATCGACACCAAATAGCAAAATGTTCACAACTATTCTCGAACAGATCATAATCACCTTCACCCAGCTTGGATAGAGCCCTCTCTACTACTTCTTCTATTGGTAACGGACTACAAAAATATTGTGGAAAAGACACTTTTTAAACAAAACAAAATCAATATTAAAATAAGAATTATTTTAATATTCTTTGTGACCATATTTTCATTTATCGGACGTTGTGTCTGTGGTGCCGTCAAGTCAAGTGAACTATCATGTCGCTCAGATGGGACGAAAAACCGAGGTCTGGTTTCCTCCCGGTTCTACGGATCCTACATGCAAAGTTTTTTTAACTTTGTATTGCGCTTGCATATATATATGATATAAGAATCATGCAAGATTTATATTGTGTGTGTGTGTGGGTGTGTGTGTGTGTGTGTGAGAGAGAGAGAGAGAGAGAGAGATGGGGTTTAACGTCCATTCGACACAAACTAGGTCATTTCGGGACTAACACATGGTTCAATTTTATTGCGCGAAGGGGTCTTACCAGTGGGAGGAAACCGGAGGACCCGGAGAAAACCCACAAGGTTTAACAGGCGACCCTACTCCTTGTCACGTACAACCGGGGAATCTAAACCTCACCATGCAGTTGACTCAATGACAGACCGTGTGATACAGCGCGCGCACGTGCTAACCATTCGGCCATCCAACCCCCTTATGTTTTTGTAATGCTTGAAGTAAGACACTGGTTGGAGTTTTGACAATGTGAATATAGAAATTTTATGAATATAAATTTTTTGCCCCTGTGAGAAAACGTCGTACCGTCTTTTAATATCTGTATTTACTGTGGTGATTTTAGAGCCCTTGGCTTCCTTCCACATGTTTTCCCTTTTAACCATAGTATCCGAGTTATCATCCCCAGCTAAATAGACTATTTCATCATTACCTGAAAATAAAAATAACCCAACACTATTTTCATGTAGAATTGCAAAAACATGCACAAGTGTTAGTTTTGTAATGGAGAGCCGATTTAAACGTGTTTTTGGATTTTAATCGCAAAATTCTACTTGAAAATAATGTTGGATTATTATACATTTGTGTCAGACGCGGTGAACAAAGAATAATTGCGGTGAAAATTGCGAACTCCAATATAGCCTTTGAACAGAGATGAGGTAGAATGGTATTTTTAATAGGAACGGTTAGAGGACTTCGTCCCTTTCTGCACAAGGAGTACTACCTACTCTACTTCGAGAATAGATCTCTGTCCTAAATGGCCGCCATATTCAACAATTATGTTCGGCGAAATAGGCTAGAAGTCTCAATCGAATGGCAATATCTAGCGTCTGGTCATTCCAGTCTACAAAGATGTTATAATTGTATTAAATGAAAGCAGAATATATACATCTCAACAGTCATTCGGATGGGAAGAAAATTTGAGGTACCGTGTACACATTGTCGTGTACGTACAAGAACACTAATTGGAATTGGTATTCGATATGCCGCTGCCTGGGCAAAATATCCCTCATAGCACACTGTATTGAGTATGCCTGTCTTCAATGGTCTAGTCGAAGCAGAACAGTAGGACGTTAAACCTCGTTTCATTTTACTTTAGCTCTGCCTCTTACACAATGAAACCCTGCCCAATAAGAATTACAATATTATTTCATTCATAGCGAACTTTGAATTTGCATTCGTTATTTTTAAACCACATTGAATTGCTAGTAGAAAATTAATTTCGCTTACCTACATAGATACCATAACATTTATAACCTGGTCTTTGAAAGAAAACTATATCCCCCTCTGTAAAAATGGTTGTATTAACAAGTTTGCTTCCCCTCGATCCCATTTTGTAATATTGGTTAAGTCTAGCTCTCAACCCGCCGTGCGTGCTACTACTATTAAGAATTATGACACTCTCCTTTACCCGGGCAATGCTTCATTTCAATATTTCAAGAGCTGTCAAATATGCAGTTTTCATTTTTTTTTTTTTTTTTGTATGCATATAAGAAGTGTTTCACGGTTAATTTTAGGGGATTTCCCTGCTATGTTGTTATGTTGTTATCTTACCGGGATAAGATGGACTTCTGATATCCAATATTTAAGACAAAATAAACATTTTACCATTGGTACACGAATCGTGAACCATAATGCCTTTCAACGCCATTTGTAACAAGGGATTCGAAGAACGAGGCTAGACATATTCCAAAAAGTCATGTTAAACGGTGACGTCATATTGTTACCGGGAGAGCGTGCGCAATACATCTTTGTAGACTGGAATAACCAGACGCTAGATATTGCCATTCGATTGAGACTTCGCCGAACATAACTGATTTGTAATTAAAGTAAAAACAGAAAACGATTGAATGTAAATCAGTTTATATACATTCATATTACATTATTATATGTGTTGTGACCCATTTGTGTCAATTTCTAGGTTCCAAATATTAGCTCCTTTAAGATGATGGCTGATTAATATCTATATGCATCTATATGCATGCAAAATAAACATTTTACAATTGGTACACGAATCGTGTACCATAATGCGTTTCAGCGCTATGTGTAATAGGGGACCCGAAAAACGATGCTAGGCATATTCCACAAGTCATGTCAACCGGTGACGCTATATTCTTATCTGGAGAGCATGCTCAATATTTACTTTCGGCGTAGACTGGAATAACCAGAAGCTAGAGATTGAAATTCGATTGAGAATACTGGCGTATGTCGCCGAACCTAACTGATTAGAAATTACAGTAAAAACAGAAACGATTGAATGTAAATCAGTTTATATACATTCATATTACATTATTATATGCGTTGTCAATTTCTAGGTTCCAAATATTAGCTCCTTTAAGATGATGGCTGATTAATATCTATATGCATCTAAAGATATAATAAAAGTTTAAAATCCTCCAATCTCGGTTGCCAAGAAAAGCTACCATCGCGTCTTCTGTCGACCTCCATCGATCAGCCATCACCATGTCTTGTCCCCGGGTAATGTTTATGAATAGTTGCTGTTGATGGCCTTCCAGAAAGCGAGAGCTCGTCAAGGCTCTTTATGCCCGTTGACTCAATGACAGGCCTTATGATACAGCGCGCAGGTGCTGACCATTCGGCCATCCAACCCCCGATATGATCTGTAGCCTGTATTGTGTCTTTAAACACATGTAAACGGAGGGACAGGGACGACATCATAATACGTTCATATGAAAATATGGCCGTATAAAAATCACGAATATCACAGGTTTACGTATATAATGTTAAGTAAGTATCTTGTTTAACTTAAAGGAGCTAAGTCGCTAATATTTGGGACCTAGAAATTGACACAAATGAGTCGCAACGCATACAATAATGTAATATGAATGTATATAAACTGATTTACATTCAATCGTTCTGTTTTTACTGTAATTTCTAATCAGTTAGGTTCGGCGACATACGCCAGTATTCTCAATCGAATTTCAATCTCTAGCTTCTGGTTATTCCAGTCTACGCCGAAAGTAAATATTGAGCATGCTCTCCAGATAAGAATATAGCGTCACCGGTTGACATGACTTGTGGAATATGCCTAGCATCGTTTTTCGGGTCCCCTATTACACATAGCGCTGAAACGCATTATGGTACACGATTCGTGTACCAATTGTAAAATGTTTATTTTGTCTTAAATATTGGATATCACAAAAGGCCATCTTTTCCCGGTAAGATCACAACATCAATGTTGATTTAAACCGACAAATAAATCGTGTTTTCAATGTCGAAGATTTTGGATGATATTGAGTTAGAGACTTAGCTACTTTAAGCATTTCTGAAAATGATAGTTCAAATTATATAGGCCTATCCGTACGGGAATACGTGTTTATTTTATCATAAATTTCAGTTCAAGAGCCCTTCACCAATGACCGAGAACATTTTGTTTTATCTTATAGTGTTTACGAATCTGAAAGTAATGATGTATTGCTTCCGTGTTGGATATAAACACGATAACCTTATACATGTGCTGGTACACACTGGTATGTAGGTAATTCCATGTAAAGCCACTTATAGTCTTAAAAATAATCTGGTTATTTCTCTATCTTACGTTAGCGACTCCTACAGTAGCCCACCTTCGACCACAATTAAAGATCAGACAGAGAGAGAGAGAACTGGGGTTTAACGTCCACTCGACACAAACTAGGTAATTTCGGGACTAACATGTGGTTCAATTTTATTTACATAATTCGCTTGCGCATAGGGGTCTTTAGCAGTGGGAGGAAATCGGAGGACCCGGAGAAAACCCACGAGGTTGGACAGGTAACCCTACTCCTTGTCACGTACAACTGGGGAATCGAAACCCCGCCAGTTGACTCAATGACAGACTTTATGATACAGCGCGCACGTACTAACCATTCAGACATCCAACCCCCCAAGATCAGATAGCGAAAATCCATTACTAGCCAAATTAAAATTTTCCTCGTCATTTAAACAAGATTTTTAATTTATTTTGACCCCTCCCCTGGAGACAACGACATTAAATACACCTAACTTCGTGGTTCTTCAGTTATATAAACAATATACCATAACGGAAACTTCAGAACTTGAAGGTGAAATGGGTGAAATGGTCAGCCATTAATTTTTAGATTTGTTTATTATCGAAAACATTAAAGAGCACACGAATGAACATTTGTGGTGTTTTGTCGTTTATGGTTGCGTTATAGACTGGATTTCATTCGAGTGAGATAATTATTATCCGGGATAACATATCATTTACATGTGCTCCAAATATTCTTTTCTATTGTCCAAAAACAGTAATTTCTGTGATGTAATTGATCGCACGTACAAACTGTGTGCTTTGATGATATATTTGGTTAAATAGAGAATCTCCTACGAGTCATTTATCAACATTCGTTGATGAAGTAAAAAAACCGTGGCTAACACAAGTTGATAAAGTAACAAAAACGAGGCTCTGTCGAGTTTATGTTTTACTTTATCAACGAGTCTTGATTTTATTTATCACCCAATCCACGTGCACAAATAAATACTGAACCTGATTACATTACGGCGTAGTAATAAATCATTTGTTGACAGCAATTCAACCATTGCAAAGTCCTTTATATTGACCCAGCGTTTCCATCAAAGTTACTTTTTGTCTCTTTAATGTACTCATTGACCTTGTTTACTGCCATAGATTGTTTACTGATAATCCAGACTGAAATAAATGCATTAAATTTAACAAGATGTTCTGATTGTCAATTATAAAGCCATGAGTGATGTGCATATGACTGTCGGGAAATCATGCTGTATGTGAGTTTTAGTTTGAGGTAGGGTATTTAAGAAGGTATTCTGAATTTGTACATACATGTACAATAATAAAAGGCTAGTTATTTTTCAATTTTCTAGTTTGTCGATTATCAACAGAAAGCTGGAATATGTAAAAAAAAGTGGGCACAATTGAAATGCTCAGGTGACTTTTATTGCAAATTTCTATAAAATAATGGCAGTGGATATTATGTCAAAATTTTGGGATTAATACTGATTTTTAAGATAGCCGTACACGGTTAAATTCATCTCATGTACGGTCAAATAATCCAGGAACTGACACTTGATGACGTCACTATATTCCAGCCAATCAGAAACGATGTACGGTAAAATAGCGGAAGTAGATACTTTGCCGTATACGGTTAAATATCCACTCCGTAAAATAATAGGTAGGGCTATTGAGATTATTTAAATATGAAATAGACTACTGTAGCCCTGCACTCAAGCAGGAGTTATGAACTGTATACCGGTACCCATATTGACAAACTTTAAAAGTGAAGTTTTAGACAAAGTCAACATTCTATTTCTATACATTACAATATCTGCTGCTCACAGAGTGACACTCGTTAGAAGTCAAATAACTTGAATAAATTAACATAATGTCAACCGTATTTCCCATTTGAGCGGCACAGCTATTACTTATTAATATTACCAATGATTTGACCAACATTATTATCAATAGATCTATTTCCGATTGCAGATTTATAAATTATACACTAAAACGAAAAATATAAACTGTACCATGAAATATATACAGGCAACCAGTTTTCAATACGTGAAACCATTTTTACTAAATTGAGCTTGCCCTAAGGGCAACAATCTGCAAAATTTAACTTTCAGTCTGATTACTTCTTACTTCAAAAAGCCTTATCTTTTATTTTATTTCAGCTCTCCGTAAAAACAGGGAGAATTTGCATAAAACTGGTGGGGGCGAGGAGCCGTCCTGTCAGATGCCTAAACAGTAGTTTTGGAGTTTTTGGTTATCAAAAATAGCTCACAGATAACTGGTGTCAGTGGGGGGTGTGTGGGTAGATATTTTCAGTTGTACTGAAACTATTTCCCAGTCTGCTGCATTAGGTGAGTTTATTTTATGTTTCTTGATAAATTTGCTTTGTAAATATTAACAATGAATGAAGTAATTTGACTGAAATTTTCAACATATTCCATTTTCATTTTCTATTTTTTAAACTATTATACATGTAGCGATAACTGTCAACTCTTTAAATTTAATTTGATAGGAAGCCACATGTATGATACTGTCATAGTACCAAGCTGCACTTCTGCTGATCAAAATTTCAACAATGTAGATAATATTCTGGACTTAAATGAAGGTATGTACATGTACGACTAAACTGGTCTAAATAAAATTTTAGATCGTTTCAAGAGCCATTTTCTGATTAAAATTTTACAATTACAATGCAATGTATTATTTGTAGTTACTTATAATCACTATCAGATATAATAATTTTGATATAAGCATACATATACATATTTCCCACACTTTAAATGCTGAAACCAACAAGAGAGGTATATTATATTATATTTAATATTGACTGTGTACATGTGCAAACTACAACATCGTGAACGTTGAATCTCTATTAGCGAATATTAGTCCAAAAAGGATTCAATTCCGTTCAGTTACAAAGATGTGATAATTGAAATATGACGCAATGGAACTTTAAAGGGTGACAATGTTTTGTTCATAGAGAAGCAAATTAAACAAAATGCATGCTTTTTGTCATGAATTTTAAACTTAATATATGTTTTAAATAACATTGCTATTTTTTAGTTTAAACTGAAGAAAATATCCTGCATAGGCCAATCTGTAATGTGATATATTGTTTCATATCTTTTGCTATTTTACTTTCTCGGTATTTTTTATTTATATTGTATAATTCATTTACTTACAGAAGAAAAGCCTACATCCAGCAGTTCAAATGCTTTGAAGAAAAAAAAGAGCTTTCTCTACATCCTCAACACAATAAACAGTGGATGAAGGAGGAAATAGAGCTTATAAAATTAAACTTTTAGAGAAAAAATTAATGTCAGTTTGACTTCAAAATTATACACTTTACAGTTTTAATGTTCACAAAAAGAAGCAGCCTATTAATTTCCGATAATTACTGACAGAGTTATGGCTCTTGATCAATTTGAAAAGTCTTGTGGATGCTCAAGGGGCTAAAGTTATCAAATTAAAAAAATATGCAAGTATCTCATAAACCTGTAATTAGTTGTTTTCTTTTTTCTGTCCGTTTAAAGATATGTTCCTTCAAAGAAAATTAGGTCAGGTTATTCAATGTATTTAGTTAAATATAAGTTTTTTGATGTGATTGAAACATTCATACTTTTAGTTAAAAATAAGGTTTGGATGTGATAAGAAACATTCATACTTTTAGATGCCCTTATTAACCTTGAAGGAACATATCAAAATGGTTTAATGAAAATACTGCTTTACAAAATACTGGCGAGTAGCCAATCCAGCTGGGGCATCATTCTCCTGGGGTAACTCAGTTTGATTGTCAGGATCCACCTCCATGAAAGGTGCGTAATTATCCCCTTTCTCAATAGCAATTTTATGGAGAGCTGCACAGGCTAGGATTACAACAATTGCTCTCTCTGGAGTCATTCTCAAGGGAATGAGTAAAGCTCTGTAAAATAAAATGTAAATGGTTAATAGTGCGATTCCAAAGAATGCACAGTACATGGATGTATAGACTGTCCTTTGGCGCAATACAACCCGGATGGAGCTGATGTAGCATAAAACCACATTTCATTTATAGACTGTCCACATATTGATTGTTGATCAATCATGATGGGAAGAGAGTATCACCATAGCTTATCTAAATCTTACATTATGCATCTGTGTGTGGCCGAATGGTTAATGCGTGAAAGTTGGATCAATAGGTCATTGAGTCAAGTGGCATGGTTTGGATTCCCTGCTTGTACATAACATGGAGTATGGTCGCCTATCCAACCTCGTGGGTTTTCTCTGGGTCCACCGGTTTCCTCCCACCACTAAAAGCCCCTACCTGCAAACGAATTATTGAAATAAAATTAAACCGTATGACATTGTGCATTTAATGACTTTATTTAGCTTACCCAAATATATTCTTTTAAATCACGAAGCTCTGCTCAATCCGGACTCTTGTCCTGCAATGACTGGAATTGTATCGTTGTTGAGGTTCATTCTGAGGATTCAAAAATGGTGTGAGTAAGTAGCGGCGGTTACCATAGCCTAAATCCCCTAGCAATACACCATGGTCTCCTGTCAATAACAATAAATAGAATATAATTGTTTAATAGAATTTATTATAGCAATATAAACATCTGAAATGGTGCCGTGTTCTAGATATAGTAAATTAGTATAAAAATGGGTAGTTATTATTGTCCTCCGCCTTTCGAAGAAAGCAGGGGACTATTAAAATGGGTTCGTCCGTCTGTCTGTCTGTCCGTCACACTTTTTGGGACACAATAACTCTCTTCCTAATTGAGCTAGAATGTTCAAACTTGGTGTATGTGTTTATTAGGTCAATGCCTTGATGGAGTTCGAAGATGAGCATTTTCCGCTTAGGGTAAGCAGAGATAAGCAATTTGATTGGTTGATGCTTTGGGACACGATAACTCTCTTCCTAATTGGGCTAGAATGTTCAAACTTGGTGTATGTGTTGATTAGGTCAATGCCTTGATGGAGTTCGAAGATGAGCATTTTCCGCTTAGGGTAAGCAGAGATAAGCAATTTGATTGGTTGATGCTTTGGGACACGATAACTTTTAATTGAGCTAGAATGTTCAAACTTGGTGTATGTGTTTATTAGGTCAATGCCTTGATGGAGTTCGAAGATGAGCATTTTCCGCTTAGGGTAAGCAGAGATAAGCAATTTGATTGGTTGATACTTTGGGGCACGATAACTCTCTTCCTAATTGAGCTAGAATGTTCAAACTTGGTGTATGTGTTGATTAGGGCAATGCCTTGATGGAGTTCGAAGATGAGCATTTTCCGCTTAGTCTATTTCAGTTTCTGAGACATCACCATCAACTGATTCTACCGAGGGCGCCGAGGCCATATCCGGATCAGTGTCTGGGATAATTTCCAACTCTTGGGACAAGGATTTGGTGGCCATTTTCTAATTGTATTATTGTCCCCCGCCTTTCGAAGAAAACAGGGGACTATTAAAATGGGTCTGTCTGTCCGTCACACTTTTTGGGACACAATAACTCTCCTCCTAATTGACCTAGAATGTTCAAACTTGGTGTAGGTGTTTATTAGGTCAATGCCTTGATGGAGTTCGAAGATGAGCATTTTCGGCTTAGGGTAAGCAGAGATAAGCAATTTAAATGGTTGATGCTTTGGGACACGATAACTTTAGTTCTAATTAAGTGAGAAAGATGAAACTTGGTGTATAGTTTCATTACATCAATACCTTGACTAAGTTCGATAATGAGCATTTTCTGCTCAGGGTAAGCAGAGCGATAAGCAATTTGATTGGCCGAGACTTTGGAACACAATAACCCTCCTTCTAATTGAGCTAGAATGTTCAAACTTGGTGTAGGTGTTTATTAGGTCAATGCCTTGATGGAGTGTGAAGATAAGCATTTTCTGCTTAGGTAAGCAAAGATAAGCAATTTGATTGGTTGATGCTTTGGGACACAATAACTTTAGTTCCAATTAAGTGAGAATGATGAAACTTGGTGTATAGTTTCATTACATCAATACCTTGACTAAGTTCGATGATGAGCATTATCTGCTCAGGGTAAGCAGAGCGATAAGCAATTTGATTGGCCGAGACTTTGGAACACAATAACCCTCCTTCTAATTGAGCTAGAATGTTCAAACTTGGTGTAGGTGTTTATTAGGTCAATGTCTTGATGGAGTGTGAAGATAAGCATTTTCTGCTTAGGGTAAGCAGAGATAAGCAATTTGATTGGTTGATGCTTTGGGACACGATAACTTTAGTTCCACTGACGTGAGAGTGATGAAACTTGGTGTATAGTTTCATTACATCAATATCTTGACTAAGTTCGATGATGAGCATTTTCTTCTAATTGAGGTAGAATGTTTAAACTTGAAGTAGAGTTCAATGATTAACATATTGAGCTAAAGCTAAGCAGAGATAAGCAATTTCCTGCTTTGAGACAAGATAACTTTGATTCTATCTGATAGAGAGTGATGAAACTTAGTGTATAGTTGATAATCAGTTTGAATGCTTGATACTTTGGAAAAAAAAAATAGATGTGCGATTAATTAATATGTGTCATCTATTTATTTGGGGATTTCGGCGGGGGACATCAGCCTCGCTGTTGGCTTGTTCACATTAATTACAGGTGTTGGAAGTTAAATAATAAATTTTACTATTCTAATAAAATAAAACCCAAGTACGAACAATCCAAACCATTGGACAAAACCAAACCATTAGACAAAAATAGTGTACAAAGAATTATTGGATGTTTTAAAATTTACAGTGAATTTCAAACCACTTTTATATTGGGCTGTATTTAGGAGGTACATGCTTATATTCAACATATCATTTTCCATATCAATTTTCACTGAGGATTCATTGAATACCCTAGAATCGAGGCAACTGCCAGGCCACTTCACTATTATGCTCGAAAAACAATGGTCCGGTAGACAGGTAAACTGTAATAAAATAAATCATTTGTGTTACTCTTGATCAACAACCAGTCTTTTTCCATGGTAATTAGCTACATGCTGTACTCGTAATCTCTTGCAAATTTAAACAATTTCAAATTTTAATTACACAGGCACTTAACTATAGCCTAAATTAGTTCCATGATTAGCATTTTAATACCTGGGTATTCAGTGCAGGATTACCTTTACGACAAATGCATTCATTCGTATTCAACGGTTTTTTTTTAATTTTGATCAAACAGCCATCGATACACCCGATTACATTTGGAAAACCTAAAACAGAAAAGTTATTTTTTTAAATAAGAGTTGAAGGGATTTATTTAAGCCTATTACTGAATTAAAACCAAATTATTTCAATATTTTTTTTATTAGGCTACATTAATCTATTAATAAAAGCAGCCTTTATAATTTTTTTTTTCAAGTAGTTATTTAGAATAACACTATATAGAATTTTAAACATCATTTTGCAAATGACCACAATAATAAATGCTTAGCCGAAAAGTCTTTCATGAAAGACGAAATTGTTAATTTGTCCGAATTGTCTTCTTGCCGATTTGTAACAAAATGAGTGGTCTCCCGTTAGGAAGTATTATCATGTAAAGTTCAAGGTAATGTCAATAAACGTCAAAGACTTTGGGAAGTTTGGCGGTCGTAACAATTC